AAGCACAGAGTAATAAAAAATGGTAAACAATAAACATATTTATGATATATATCTAAAATCAAATCACACATGTAGAAAAAAAATAAAAATTTAAGTATTGATTTGTAGTGGAGGTGACAGGTGGTGGGCGGCAGTGGTGGTGGTAGAAAACGGTGATTGTTATGGTGGGTGGCAATGACCGGGGTGGCGGCAGCGGCGACAGTGGCATTGGTGGTGGCAGCGACGGTGGGGGTGGCGGTGGTTGTGGGGGTGAAGGGGTAGAGATAGTGGTGAGCTGATTTCAAACATTATTTTTTTTAAAGTATTTATGAGAAATAATTTTTGAAAGTACTTTTAAAAAGTCACTTCAAACACACCCTTAGATACCTATTTTCCTATTACATTTAGGATGTTAATAATAGCTGTTAGATTAACTTTAGAGTAAAATTTAAAACGATCTCAACCGCAAATAGTAAAATTCATTTTATTTATCTTTTGGGATTTGAATTGTAAGTTACTTTATTATATAGATAAATAGTTATTGCATGTACCTGAAGGCACAAAGTAATAAAAAATGATAAATAATAAATATATTTGTATTCATATCTAAAATTAAATCGCAAACATAGAAAATAGATAAAAGAATTTAAACATCAATTTATAGTAGGAGTGAGAGATAGTGGGTGATAGTGGTGGTGGTAGAAGACAGTAATAGTGGTGGTGGTGGTAGTGGCGGCTGCGACGGCGATGATAGTGGTGGTGGAGGCGGCGATGGGGGTGGTGGCGGCGATGGTGGTGGTGGCAATGGCGACGACGACGACGGTGGTGGTGGTGGCAGTGGTGGTGGTGGCGTGGCAGTGATGGCGGTGGAGGTGGTCGTGGCGGTGGAGGCGGCAGTGGAAGGGGCGGTGACGGTGGCGGTGGTGGTGGCGACGGGTGGGTGGCGGTGGTAGTGGCGGTGATGGCAGCGGCGACAGTGGAGGTGGTGACGGTGGCGGTGGCTGCGACGAAGGTGGAGGTGGAGGTGGAGTTGGAGGTGGAGGCGGCGGTGGTGACGACAGTGGCAGTGGTGGCAGCGACGATGGTGGTGGTGGTGGTAGAGGTAGTGGTGGAGCGATTCAAAACAATTTTTTTTTTAAAAGTACTTATGAGAAATAATTCCTAAAAACACTTTTAAAAAATTATTCCAAACATACCCTTAGGGATCTATTTTTTCCTATTAAATTTGGAGATTTAATATTAGCCGTTTGATTAATTTTAAAGTAAAATTTAAAGCGATCTCAACCGTGAATAGTAAAAGTCATTTTGTTTATTTTTTGAAATTTACATTGTAAATTACTTTATTATATAGACTAGTTACTGCCTGTGCCTGAAGACACAGAGTAATAAAAAATGATAAATAATAAAAATATTTGTATTTATATCCAAAATCAAATCACAAACATATAGAAGAGATAAATAAATTTAAGAATCGATTTGTAGTGGGGGTGAGAGGTGGTAAGCAATAGTGGTGATGGTAGAAGACGGTGATGGTTGTAGTGGGTGACAATAACCGTAGTGGCGGTGGTGGTGGCGATGGTGGCGGTGAGGGCAATGGGGGTGGTGGTAGCGGAGGTAATGGTAGTAATGGCGGCGACGGTGGTGGCGGTGGTGATGGTAGAGGTGGTGGTGAGGCGGTTTCAAACACTATTTTTAAAAAAATATATATTTATGAAGAATAATTTATAGAAGTACTTTTAAAAAATTACTTCAAAGACACCTTTAGAACCCTATTTTTCCTATTAAATTTAGGGTGTTAATATTAACCGTTGGATTAACTTAAAAATAGAATTTAAAGGGATCTCAACTACGAATAGTAAAAATTATTTTGTTATCTTTTGAAATTTGAATTATAAACTATTTTATTATATAAATATAGATAGATATATATAAATAAATAGATAGAGATACGGTGGTTAACTCCCATCTTTCCATTTGAGTGCCAAAATAGAAAGATGAAACGCACGAACATATTTCCGGTTGGATGTTAGTTCAACCAATGGCAAGAACAGTTGGGCCTTACCTCATTTTCAAATACTTATTAATGAATAAATTAATAAACACTATTTTATATAAACCCAGATGAAGAATTGGGCACTTGAGGTCCAACATTGCACAAAAATGGTATTCTTGAAGTATGACGACCCGCCCCCCACCCGCCCCGGGGGAGGGGGGGATTATCATTAGGTTACAAATGCCAAAACGTTAATTTATAATTTATAGGTACTTTCAAAATATGTATATAATTTTTATTTCATCTCTGAAGCTGTAATTTAAACAATTATGTCCTTAAAATTAGAACCGAATTTCAATCCAATCTTTTCATCCAGATCTATTAGTTTATTCCCAGAGAAAGACGTCACTTGCTTGTAAGGGTATATTTGTTTAACAAAAAATATCTCTCACAAATAAATTGACATTTTTCTTTATCTCATAGATAGTATCTCTCAAACTCTCACTTTATATCTTTTTTTTTGGGTTTGTTATTTTCTTTTTCTCCAAGTTAGATGAAATAAAGTACGATTTTTTTAGCTTACACGTAAAAGATTTTTCACCAGATAAATATACTTTTTTACCTAACTCACTTGTTGGTCACAAAAAATCATTTCTTTCATAATAAATTAATAAATTTTGATGTAAGCAGTAAATTGAAATACAATTAAAACTCTAAAGATTTGATTATTACAATTAAAACTTCAAAGAGGAGCACGCAGAGATATAATCAAATGCCAGGCTTCATACACGCTCGAAGTTAGAGAGTAATTTACAACCTAATCTATAAAGGATTGATTTCAAAAATTGTTGTCTTTTTTTATTTTGATATTAAAAAAAAAGTCCCAATGTTTACATAAGTTTACATAAGTGACTAAATAGTTGTTCATCCTTAGATATGATCTGAAGTCGAGTCTCACAAACCCGTATAACGATTTTATTGTTTAGAAATATTCTTAGATCCAATGTTGAAGGGATGCTCATGAGCATAAGTATATTTAATGGAGGTACAATTGGCAAACATTGTTGGGAAGCTAATGAAGTTACATTACATGTGCCTGACCGCCATGCCAGCTTGGTAATGAAATGAAACACACAAAGTTTGGAGAAGTTTGAAGTTTACGCAACTCTCAACAAAAAAACTTTTCTTAACGTAAACGCCACAATCATCCCTTTCCTCATTGATTAAGGTCAAAAGCCTCCATGGATGATAGGTGAGAGGTGGTTCACAAACTCTTTTTGCTGGTATTAATTTGTTCCGTAGCACCTTTCATTCAACATAGACTTTTGAACAGAAAATGGAATATTTCAGACAAGCTTATTTCACCTTTAATTAAGAGGGTTTGCTTGTAATCTGGGAATATTGCTGTAAAATAAGGTTGGATACTGAGATCTGCAACGAAAACTCTTACTGATTGGACAACTTCGCTGCCCAAATTTGGATTATACATTGTAGAATAAAAAGGTGGATCTATAAGCTTATGTGGGATTCTTTCTTTCTATTCCAATGAAATTCTGATTTCGGTCATTGGATGAAAATTAATCGAACAATTGGCACATCTCTATAATTCGTTTAATGTTAGATCATTTTTCGTGAATTCAAATAGTATATCCATTATATTGAGGTGAATTACTCACTAATACAAATAATCAATTTTAGTTGTTTATTGCGTATCAAATCTCATGTCACTCCTTTCTTACCTAAAAATGTTTGAGATTTTAAATTCAACATATTTATTGGTTACCTATTTCTTTTACAGCCATTTCGTTTTTCCGGGTCAGGGCCACAACTATTATTTCTAAACGTATTGATATGTTGATTAATCATATCCTTTTAATTTCGATTATCTGATTTTACCTCAAAGGAGTTCAACTGGCAATCAATCAGAAACACAGGCTTTGTTCATGAATTACCCGTCAAGAGGTTAGGGTGGACTAGATGGGGAATATTCAAGGGAGAAAGCATCCAACTATAGTACTAGTTGAGATATAAATCTTTAAACTTGTAATCTAACATTGGGCCGAGTTAATTAAGTTAGGTGAATTATGGTCCCATGGTTTTCCCCGAGGGGGTTTCCACGTAACATTGTGTATTGTAGTTGTATTGTTTCTTCCCTATCTCTTTCTGCAATTTTGCTTTCTAGAGAAAACAAGTTATAGGTGGGTTAACCAACTGGGGTAGCTTAGTTGACTACAGCCTCTGGCTTTCCAATGAGAGGTCAAGGGTTTGAGGTCTCCTGGTTGCAATAGCGTGGCTGTTTGGTAGAACAAGATCTTAATTACTTAGACGAATCATATCCCAGTCTCTATTGTAGGTCTTAAATCCCCGACGAAACATAAATCTTGATTTAAATGGTGTATCAGTTGAAGGACCAGTTCAAACCCCACGCTTTGAGGATAAGTCATGGAATTTCTCTGTTTCCGGAAAAAAAGTTATAGGTGGGTTCTCCCCAATACTTCCTATTGGCCAACAGACCCCAATTCCCCTCGACCTCCATGACCAATATCATCTCTCTCTCTCTCTCTCTCTCTCTCTCTACAGGTGGGGTGTCTGTGTATCAAAACTTTTTATGTCTATACATGTCAAGCACAAAAATAGTGCATTCTTGTTCCGAATGCTCCCAGTGAACACATGTAAACACCAGAAACAGTGCGTCACCTAATATTCAAAACCATCGTTGATAACAAAACTAATATTCCAGAATACATTTGATTACAAACTTGTACCCACCTGACACACCAAATCATTCATATGAAGGCACTGCACCATCTCCTGATATTCTAAAGGTAATTTCCCAGAAATGTCGAACAGGAAGGATGATGGACACAAAGACATTCTGTCCCACGATGCAAACTTGCCAGATTCGACTGATATAAACATATGAAATGAGATACACTGTACATATGCCACAACCAACATATACTTCCGGATCACACCGATTCTGCCCACTAACGAAGAATCCAATCGCATGCATAAGAATGGATTTACCTCATTCTGCAGACAAATTACCACACTGCCATGGGTCGAACTCTGTTGATCTGACATCATCTGCATCAATGCTATGGGAGCTATCAATAGAAGCCCGATGTTCAGTGTATTTGCCATTGTACTGATAGACTTCCAAGTCTCCCCAAGGTGTTGTTGTGATTTCAGTAGTTTTATCAAACCATCTTGGATTAAACTGATGGCCTTGCGCTTCCCTATTTCTCTTTTCAGCTCTCTGTCTTTCTTCCAAACTGCAGAGGTATGCACAAATGCCAAGCAAATTTCTCAGAGACCAAAAGAACAAAACTAAAAAGAAGTATCTCAAACTTTTCAAGCACTTCATAGATTCTTTTTTCTCTTTCAAATCGAGTTCATTAACGATCACAAAAGGGGGCACACTGATTCTATTATTTCAAATTCAGTTGATTTAAAAAGTGCATAAGAGACACAAATCAAGTGAACAAGTAAGCATTCATGATCAGGACTCTACCAGAACCAAAAATCTGAAAAAGGATTCAGGGAAGAATTGAACTGGCTGATTGACCTCTAAATAAGGTGAAAAGAATTTAGAAACACTTAAATTGTGCGTTGGCCACAGCAAGCCCTCAAAAACCGACATATTCTCCCCATCAATATGCCTCACATTAAGGCAAAGAAAGGCTTGTAATCAACCAAAATCTGATCAAGAGAAACACCAGAGTCCCTATTCACGCAAACCTGCTACGAAATCGACATGGAATTAGTAGGTCTGAATTTAGTCTCAGCGGGTTGAGATAGTAACTAGGGGGGCCTACCAGACCCACCAAGTAAATGGGTTGACCGGCTAAACATGACATATACATGACAACAAACATGATTATACATGACTACAAATAAGTTGAAGTATGGATTGAGGAATTTGCAACATGATACGACCCATTAACAGCCCTCAATATATGCTGAAATAAGATACAGCAGAAGTCGTCATGAAACCGTAGCAAGCCTTCTAAATAACATGGAGAGGATACACTGTCCCATCTTCATTGATTCTTTTACCCCTGTTTCCTCGTATTATAGGGAAGAAGACTCCCCCCACCCCTCACCCCTCACCCCACGCACACAACAAGTGGGTGGGATACAGCAGTTTTGGTGTGTGCACACCACTGGGAGAAAAATGAATAAATAGTTTTTCTAGGACCCAGGAGAAGAGCTTATGAATCCTGGCATTACCTGTTCTTTACATCCTTATTTCTCTAAAGAGTAACTTCAACTAAAATCCACAATACCAGTAACAAGGTTTGGTGACATTAGTCATTCATCTGAGCATTAATATTTTTATTCAAGAACTTCTCTCTATCCAAGATTGCAGTAAAAATCTGGGCTCTAATTAGTCTGACATTTTCAAACATCATCGATCATTATGTCCTATCAAAAAGGATAAAATCAAGGGTTTCAAACTTTTATAAGCTACAACAGACCCACCTGCCAAAAGGAGGAAAGGGGGGTCAGGAATGAAACAAAGGTATTATAAATCAAAACAATGACATCGTGCTTACTAAGAAAAGAAAATTAATACAATTAAAACTCTCTCTAAATATACTACAAGGCAACAGAAATGTTTGTTTCTCTTCACAATATTTGGGAGGCTGCCCAGAGGATACAGACTTTAGTGCCCATATCCCCTTTCCCTGATATTTACCCAATACAGGGATTGAGCTCAAATTATAACGATAAGAAAACTGTGCAACATGGCATCTGGCTGGAAACAAAATCCACAATTTTTCGAAATGATGCGAGACAACGAGACAATGGACCACTATGATTCCAACTCTACTATTCATGACTTACAAAATAACGTCAATCTATTCCAAAATCAGCCCTTCTGAGGGGGATTGAAACAGTCAGTCATATCATGTAGAACTCTAAACGAAATAGGACATAATCCTCCACACCATTGTACCATTAAAAATTCAAAGGAATGAAACAGTACTTGAAGCAGCCACTAGGCACTTCGGAACATGAGCCATGCCCTCAACATGATTACAATTATTAGCCAATTATGGATGCAATAAGATATGTGGGTGCAGATGCACGTGTGTGAATTTGTGTGTGTGTTTGAGAGAGAGAGAGAGAGAGAGAGATACCTGCTCTTCTCGGCACCAGCTTTTGATAAATCACCTTTCTCAAGTGCATGTCTATCAGGACGCAGACGAGAATCCGATGCCAACAATTTCCTGGGTGCGGTTTCAATGCTGTTTATTTTATGGGCAAAATATGTATACTGAAATCTGTCATTTTCTGGAGCAGTAGCAACTTGCCAAACCTGCAGAAAGTTCACAAGAAACTCACCTTAATCTCAGACACCATCCAAGCCAAAGTAGCAGCCAGTTAGTTTACTAAAGCACAATTAGATATCTTATCTCAATTCAAGTATCTGTCTGTGCATTCCAAACCTTTATAGCATCCTCAAACCTTGAATTCTTTACAATTCTATGGGTCAGGTAAAATCTTTAACAAACTACTGCTACAGGAAAAGAGTGCAAAAACCTACAAGCCTACCCAACCATCTTTTTAGCTAGAATTCAGCATGTGGATAGGAAATGAATTTTATTTCTTGTCTCCAACGAACAGTCAAATCACCATTCAAAACACCTGACCAGACAAGATGAACAAAATTTCTTGCTGGCCATCCAAATATGGAAACTGTACCAAAGAGGCGGCTCCTATGCAACTTCAAAGACGTGGGTTTTAAAGGAATCAAGTTTCATGTGACACAAGCTGGCCACAAGTAAAAAATAGGTTGTTGGACAGGAGTTCTTTTATACAATCTCCAAAGTAAGCCATAGATGATATATTAGCAGATATGCATAGTTGGAGTATAAGTAGATAAATAGCACTATAGTAGTCTGAATAGCGTTAGAAGCTGCAGCGAGTAGAAGCATAGGACCAATGCATGCAGTCCTGACACCAACTTTATGCATTTGTATGGTATGGTGAAGAGGCAACGAAGCCAATTCCCAACAAGCACAATGATTAAAAAAGAAGCAACAATGCATGCAATGCTGACACATCATGCACTTTCATAATGAAAAGAAAATGATGCCCATCCTCAATCAGCACAATAAAAAGGACGCACAACATCATGAACATGAAAGTCAGTCTCCATTCTACATAACAAAAAATGATGACAAATGATCTATCACAAGCACAAAGAATAAAATGGTGAAACGTTCAATGAAACAAACCTCTTTGAGTTCTGACCCTATTTGAGGTTCCCCTTCCATGTCACAAGGTTGATAACTCATTGATGCATTCCATTTTCCAGTCATCAATATCTTAGGTTCCTCGGAAGCATTATACACATAGCCATCCACTTCATATCGATCAGCTCTGTGCCCCAAAAAACATTATCAGACATCAGGAGCAGGTAAGAAGTTCATGCAAGTCTGAGTGCACGACAGCACCACACAATTTGCACGTGTGCATGAGAGAGAGAGAGAGAGAGAGAGAGATGTCATAAAAACTTCATCCAGCAATATCCTGTCTGTAAAATCCACAGGTAACCATCATATGAAATTAGAATTATCCCACAACCATAAAATATGACCATCCCAAGGGGCAATTGTAGAAAAGATTAAAGGAACAGAATTGAAAGGAGACACCAGCATACCCAAACCAGCCACATGGTTGAAAACAGAGCACAGCTTTGTCCCCTGTAGTCAAATTTGTCATAATCATCTCCCCTGGTGAGTCAACCCACGTTCTTCCAAAAATCAAATTGTTAACCTTTGTAGGAGGTGGAACTAAATCCAGGACCACGCCATTTCGTTTAAGAGTCACACGTGTTCTGCACATAAAAACGACACAAACATAAGTTTTGTAAAGTTGGAAAGAGATTAACCTGATTATGAAATCTTGATAGATCAAAACTTCAATATTAAATGGAGAAAAAAAAACATTGACAACAAGATAAGCTTTAAAAGTCAACAAAAGACATAAGTGAGAACTCTAGACATGAAAAAGGCCAAATAGAGAGATATTATCCTTAAATACAAATCTTTTGAGGTGTAACGTATAAAATGTAAGGAAATGAGTTTCTCTTTTGGAAGCCGTAATCCACCTGAAATTAATCCTAGGAAATCCTTGAAAGGTTAAAACAGTTAATCACCATATGTTCACAAACAACAAGGGGGTATATAACAAAAATGGCATGAACAGATAGATACAAGTGGCCATCCACATCGCCTGCAGAATCACAGGCTGTCTATCAAACTCCAAGAACATATTACTGAGGGTAATAATCCATGAATAACAGCTGAACATGACAGACCTTCCAACAGGATAGACGTCAACAGAGTTCCCCAGAAATTTAGTCTTCAACTTTGATGTCACATCATATGTAAAATGTTCATTTTCAGCATGTCCAGCACTCATTGGAGGATGATGACTCACCTGCATTGGGATGTCAATGTGGAGCATTCATATTAATCAATAAGAATAATCCAGAAACATCTAATCATGGGAAGCAATTGTAGATAAATCTTTGGTAAGTTTCAGAATATCTTCAAAGTTGTGCTTCCTTTAGGGCTTAGCTTGTTTGTGTACATCCCCACTTAAATGTGGGCTCTGGAATTTTCTTTTCCTATGTATCCTAACTTCAATTTCATCCTATAGAATGCAAGAAATAGAAAGAATTTAGGGGCAGGGGGGAACAGACGGGGATATAACAAAGTACAAAGCGGCAATTCCAGATCCTTAACTCACCTGTTCAGCAATGAATGTAATCCCATCATGGTTGACCATTTCGTAAGTCTCACCAAGGATGGGGTTAAAAGGCTTCCAGGTGCGTTGGTAGGCATAGTAGACAGATATAGCCCATGATGCTGGGAAGTTTTAAATTTAATAGTCGCACAACAATTTGCATAGTTCAACTATCTCATGAATATCCAATTCAAGAAATACTCACAAGCATATACCAACTGCATGTAGGGATCTTCACATTCATCAGCCTGATCTAGAATGTGGGAGTATTCCATTAACTGTGACAATAATTTCAACATATGGATTGTAACATTGGCCATAAACAGTATAACCTAAGTGAAAACAGTACCCAAAGAAAATAGCACAAACCTCTGCCATTTTTTGAAGCATCGTCATCGGCTCAAATATAAATACCGGAAGTGTCACCATTGATGTTATATCAGACCCTACATATTCCCGCATCATTTTCCAGTAACTGTCGCGATCCTTTGAAAAAGCAACAGATCTCTCAGCATGCATTAAAGGATTATACTTCTCAAGATAGACTAGAAACGCAACAAAGGGTCATTCATGGTCTGTAGTGAAAGACCCCGAGTAAAGAAAGCAAGCAAGATTGAAATGCATACAAACTTGGATAAAAGAGAATGCATATCTTTATCATGCCCATTGCCTTTTGCACCCATTTCCAATCCAACATGATTAACAGAAAACCCCAAAGAATCCAAGGTATTCTCAAGGAACCAATTTGAACATGTAGATATATTCCTTGAACTCACAAAGCAATCATATTTTGATATTTTCAATGAACTTCAGTGAACGTGGCCTATTCTGCATAATAAATGCATTTGCATATACCAGATAATGTCTTCAAACCTGAACCAAATTTTAAATTTAGCCTTAAAGGCCCCACTTATTGCACCAATATTTACAACAAGGTTGTCCAAACTTCAAAATTTTAAAAATAATACCTCCTAGAGAAATTCAGCAAGGTACTTGTTATGTTTGTCAATAAAGTGCTGCCTTCCTAGTTCTTTTTCTCTCTATTGGTCTGACAAGAATAGTATATTTTCAATGTTTTGGTAGGGCATTAACATAAAATGTGCCTATGAATGACATCTGAATATAAATAAATCTGCACATATATCAAAAGAGTATAGAAGAATAACTGTTGATGATTGACAAAGATAATAAATATATTATGTACAAATGCATAATAGAGTTTAACTATGTCACTGAGGTAAAGGAATTTAAGATGTATACAAAGTTACAGCAAACCCCAAAAACATAGTTTGTGCCGATCAAGATCTTCCATGTTCAATGGAGATAAATATGCAGAGAAACAGGTTCAATACTTGAACTGATGCATGAAGTGAATTAGTCATGCTCAATACTATGTACTCTATGTTTTTGTTTAACCAAAGTTTTGTTTCTTAAGAAAAAAATGCTCACATTTATTCAACTAAACAGTGGGAACAGACTCCAAGCAGTTAGACACTCATCCTTGGACAGAAAAGGGTTTTTTTTTTATCAAAAGAAACAAGCTAAATCTTTTCATAACATGACGTTCTTTTTAACACTTAAATAAAAGTTCAAATTGCAACAAAGCAATGAGCAGATCAAAGGAAACATCCAGCATCAGCTCTAGGTACAATGAACACCAGCTTCCTTCATGCTTATAAAAGTAAGTCTCCACAAAAATTTTCTCTAGAAATACATAATCACTTCTATAAAAAAAAATGTCAGATCCAAGAGAAAAAGAAAGGGAGTATTATGAGGTACCCACCTCCTGATTCCATCTTCCTCTTTGAGCTTCCTCCTCAGCATCTTCTTTTCCACCTTCTGGGTTTATAACTTCCATTCCTTCATAACCAAGCAATCTGGAGGCAGGTAGAAAGAAAAAGGAACCCATTATAAACAAAATCCTGAACAAATAACTTTAGTTCTTGATAATCAATTGAGAAAATCCAAATAACTATGTTAATCATCATCTGCGTCAAAAACAAAAGAAATGGACCGAAGATTTTAATCATACAGTATGAAATTAATAACACTGGTCAGACATACAAAAATGCAGGTCATAAAATTGATCTTCTGTGAGCTGACAAGAGATAAAAAGCTGCAGTAATTGAAAATGAAACATGTTTAATGACACAAGGTTTCCAATGAGTAAGCAAAGTTGCTTATTATTTGCAATATTAGCCGTCTATACGACTTATACTCGAAACACATCTTGTATTATCAGGCAAACTAACAGCAATGACTAAGGTACCTTTACAATCGGACTTGGAGCATTAGTTCAAGATATAAGACAACCAAAGGGGACATCTTCATTAAATAACTTTCATGGCCGTCTTCCACACATCATACCAAAGAACTGAAACCACACCAACAAATTTCAAGTGAACCTATCTGAGTCCACATCAAGTATATGTGTGTGTGTGTGACGAGATGAGATTTATTAGTTGTCCTTGAAGTATCCTCTCAGTCTCATTCGGATCTTTAAACATTCAATTGTGACTACTTGAGTTTCAAAAGTTGCCAAGTTCTTTGTTAATGGTCCATTCAAACTTCCATTTAATAGCTGATAGAAAGGGGCCATGTGTCTTATGATGATGGCTACCACATGTCTACTTAATTAACGGAAGTTAGAAATTGGATCACTCAAAAATAGATTCAAATTTTAGGGGTTTAAAGTGTCACAAAGGGACCAAAAGTGAAACTAAACACATCCTTTAGGGAATACCTATGCATCTTACCCCATAATATATATAAGGATGTGTCCGTTGTATATGAGCTCTCCAATTGTTCAAAACCTAATAATTTAATGCCAAACTCTTCCAGCCCTAGACCAAGTTGGTCATAGAAGAAGGGTCTGTCATCACCAGTCGACACATAGGCCATGCAATATAAAGTTATGCAAAAGGTGTGACCCTACTTACCTCAAGCATTAAGCACCAAACAAAATTGACATAAGTCAAGCACAAGGCAGTTTCCATGTAAAAGCAACAATAAATACAGCAACATGCAACAATTGCTAATGTCAATCAGCATTTTCCATGTAGCAACAATAAATACAGTGGCATGCAAGGATTGCTAAGTCAATCTTAGGAAGATGGTAGCTTGCAACATCCACTGCATGATGCTACCAAACCATACATTGGGCTGCATGGAAAGTTCACATATTGCAACCATTAGTTAATGCAAAATGGTCAAGAATCAAGATGCAACCATATGCATAAGCAACAAGGTAGCCTAAAGTACTGTTTGACCATAAACCAAGGATCAAAATGTCGTGTCGACACGTCCGAAACGTCCGAAACGTTTCGGAATTTCAACACTCCGAAACGAAACAGTAGTTGAATCACAAAATTCCAGTGTTTCGGTCGAAACGGTACTGTTTCGGACCGTTTCGGTCGAAACGGCATTGTTTCGAACCGTTTCAACAAAACAGTAATATATTCGGTTCATTATGAATAATTACATTTAATACCCCATTATAATTACATTTAATACCCACTGTAATTACATTTAATACTCACTATAATTATATTTAATATCCCACTATAATTACATTTAATTCTCACTGCTCTTCTGTCTTTTATAATTTTTTTGTTATAAGAATAAATAATTACACTTAATACCCTACTATAATTATATTTAATACCCATTATAATTATATTTAATACCTCACTGCTGTGCAAGTTTTTTGCTTTTTTTTTTTGTTATAAGTATTAACAATTACATTTAATACCCTAATGTAATTATATTTAATACCTACTGTAATTACATTTAATACCCACTGCAATTACATTTAATTTTTAAGTATACATAAGTATCATTAATTTAATTTGATACCCTTCATTATTAGTATTATAATAAAATAGTATTATTAATTGGATTATATTACCGTAATAATATGATTTTGAGTAACTATTGTCATCATATTTATGTCACATATGGAGTTTCTCTAAGTAGCTACCCAGAGCCTACACCGATGTATGAGTCTGCTCGACACTCCATAGGGGAATGGATGTAACCATGTAAGTATGTACTCATTAGTATTTCATGTGTATTATAAGACCTTAATATTATGTAAAAATGTGTTTATTTCATAAAAATTAAGTGTTTGAAACTAATTTAAGTGACTTTCACCTCAAGTCAAGCCTTTTTTTCCCTCAAATTTAAATTTATTCTTGTATAAATTGATGTTAACCTAATAAATATGTTGAATTAATAAATTATTTAGCATATCTTTATAAATTAATGGATTGAATTTGTGTTTCTATGCGTTTCCATATTTTTTCTGCGTTTCCATTGCGTTTCCGAAATGTTTCCGAAACGTTTCTATTTTTGAGTTGACCGAAACGGTACTTCGAAACGAAATTTTGATCCTTGCCATAAACTGAACCATGTTTATCTTTGGCCATCCAACTAAGTATTTTATATCAAGCCAATGTGGCAGTCAAAATCCTCCCAGACTTTGACCAAGTGACAGTGTGGCTTGAAGAAACCATCAACTAAGGCAACTGAACATCATGGCAGCTATCCCATTATGGAACATTGTAGTTTCAATAAACCAATGCCACACGTAGTTTAGTGGGGACAGCATGGCTGATTAAGGCCTAACCCATACCACTTTTTGAGACGGCATATTATTCCTTACAGTACACATTGAAGAGATGCAACTATACACCAAAACAACACACAATCTCAAGTCCCATGGAAATATATCTTTCACGTACAAGAACAAAATGGTTCAAACCTTCAAGGTTCCATTCAACCCCATATCCAACCAACGTAATCATTTCCAAAATTTGAAGTGAGTTAAATAACATCAATTTAAGGAAACATGGTCTATGAGCAACCTATCAGGTTGTAAGAATCAAAGTAAGATCATAGAAAGCAAAACATTTTGAAGCCTTTCCAGGCATACTTCAAGGTAAAATGGTAGTTTACCAGGCAGTGTAAAGGTATTAAGGGATCGTCAGAAACAGTTCAAGTCACCATGAGCTTTTTCAAACAATGGGTCACCGATTAAAGCACCGTAGGGTAAGAGTAACGCAACAAAATACCAAGGTCAACCATGTCATGTGGGCCAGTTAATGTCTATGGGCTGTGTCCAGGCTGCCAGAGATCTGAATCCTAGTACATAATGACTCAGCCAGAGTGTGTTCAAAGTTGGGTAAATATCTTGCTGGACACTATATGAAAAACACATCTTTTACCATATGGCAATAGGAACTTTCTTGTAGGGGATTTTGAAACAGAATTTAGATGATGTGAGATGTATATATTTACCGAAAAAATGCATGAAATGCATCAGAGATGAGATGTAGTACCATTGGGGGCTACTTCACAAACACAAGAGGAGGGAACTAGAAATTAGTGGATTTTGCAATGAAAAGTAGGACTATAAGAGCACAAGAATTTAGTTTACAATATCCCCCCCAAAAAAAAATCATGGAGGATTTACCATCTTATCCAATTTTCCATAACAGAAGCATTGGTGTTTGCAGCTACAAGGGATATCCATCAAAAAAGTTGTTTTTTGACCATAGTACAAGGTCACAGTATTAGCCATTGACTAGGAGGGCTCTAAGACCCAAAGGTCGCACCATCGCGTCGCAGTATGGAGCAAAACAACCTAAAATAAAAAGTTAAATATGACTAAAGATTCAGGCCATATCGCAACGTTAATTGGATGATTCAATGACGATAACTTGACGACTCGAGATTGACTCAGTGATGACTCAGAAGACTAAGCCAAATCGTGTGACACTCAGAATTTATACGTAATATGTAACTGTATTGACTCGGAATAACCCGAGTCAAATATAACTCGGCCAACTCGTATTGGTATCGGCCAATACTTTGAACCATGATTTTAATTGAACCCTCCACTCTCAATTTTTTGTTGTTATTATGCCAATTGTTACCTTCCAAATGGATTATGGCCTTCAAAAGCTGAAAAAGCAGAATCTGGAAGCCCAACTATTACTTCTATCAAATCCCTTTTCTTTCTTCTTTTCTTTCTTTCCTTCAACCAATCCACATATCAAATGCGTGCATACACATGTCCAACTCCTGTACCATACCCATCTCTATGTTTTGCTAAGAACACTCAAGTAATTTAAGGTGAACAGATAAGACTGGGTATCATCAAATATTTGAAAGCGTAATCAACCAAACTAATTATTGAAGCAAATTTGTATTTCTAAGTCCAATTAAACGTTAAGCTAATAACCTAGATAATTACTCCATAGAGGACTCGAGATTAATAGATATGGTAGCTTAAGGCCCTACCACAATGTAACATCTATCAAGTAGTAACACCACAGAACCTTCAAAATATCAACAAATCCACCAAGTAATACCAACTAGTTGACAAGGAATTTATTTAACCCACTTAAGTGATTCTTATGGAGTATATTTGGATTGCGGGTTAAAGGTGGATAATTATGGTAGGATAGGATAAAAAACATCTAGAAACCCCACGTTTGGTAAATAAAAAATGCATAGGAAATTTCATTCGAATTTTATCCCGACCCGATTTAAAAAATCAACTTTAACCCACCTACGTGGATTAAATGAAACCCAAGGGGCTTGGGATATTTTTTTACCAAGATAACTAATTCAAATTACTAAGTCACCCTATTATGCTACCCCTACTAGGTCAGAACGTATATCCTCATCTCTTCTCCTTCACTCTACCTACTGCTACGTTTCGTCATCAGGTACATTCGTCTCTTCTGCTCTCCTCCCTCTCTCCCTCCCTCCCTCCCTCATAGAATGTCTGACATGTACTTTGTTTTTTAACTACATCATAGAAGTATAGAAACTAAGGAGGCCCTAAAATAAAATAGAAAAACTAAGGAGGCCCAAAATGTCTTCTTGTTTTTAAATTTAACG